AACTGATTTTTAACATGATTATCACCAAAATTGAACTAGCCTACGGCACCATTTGACCGGAGGAAAGTATAAATGTAAATGTTTCTACAGTTTTACATGTCTGGCTCGTTGGTCTAGGGGTATGATTCTCGCTTTGGGTGCGAGAGGTCCCGGGTTCAAATCCCGGACGAGCCCTACATTTTTTTTAACCTTGCCGTTGTTCTAGCTTTGGTCTCACACATTTCTAGTGTACAGAAAGACTTGATGGCGTTTTATTCTTAATGTACTTTTTAAATAAAAAACCTGCAGGAACATGGTGTGGTTATGATCTGCTGAGTTTGGTTCTGCTGCCCTCTAGTGGGCTCTGGCAACACTCCTGCTTATTTTTTCTGGTCATAGGATAGACCAGGGAGATCAGATCAAGATTTTGTTTTGTTTTTTCTTCTCAGATTATAAACCAGTTTATAAGATTAAACAGAGATTTAAGAAGATGGTCTCAGGAAGCTGAAGAAGCCCTGCAAACTGGATTCACTGTGTCAGCTCCAGGGAGAGGATATCAATGCAATGGCTGAGTTAGATCAATAAAGTTCAATAATCAACAGTATTATTAAATTGAATTGAATGGTGTAAATTAATGTATTTAGCTAAAGTAGTTTTTAAGCCCTTTGGGATGAGCCTACAATGGATTGTTGGGAATATTTAGTACAAAATCTATATCCAGTTGTTCAGGAGCAGCAGGAGGTGATTAAAAAATATGCTCACTTGATGCCGTTCCTGCAGCTTATCTGCGTTCTCTAACGTTTGATCCCCTCCAGATCCAGACACTGCTGTGCTATAAAAAGAGTCTGGGAACAGTCCTGGTTACAATTCTTTCTCCCTCTGCTTCCATAGACCATCATACGGAAAAGTAAGTAAGTATTGTTTATTTATATATCACCTTTCACAGACATAGAGGTCACACCTCTGATGTCATCAGTCTAAGCACAGGCAGCAGGTTCTGCAACAGTTTCTTCCCCACCGCCATCAGACTGATGAATGGTTTGTCTTATTGGTTTATTGTATTATATTGTATCATTATGTTTATTATATTTTATCATTATATATATATATATTTTTAAAAATGTTAGAACTGTAAATTTACAGTCATTTTTACTATTTTTCAAGACTGCACTTTTAAAAAAGATGAAATTGTCCAGTGAGCTGTTTCCAAACGAAATTTCTTTTTGTTTTACACTTTTATAAACAAAATGACAAATAAAATCTGTTTAAGTGCTTCACAAAGTTAAGAAGATTAGGGCCTCTGAAAAGATAAAAAAGATTCAACTGATTTTCGAATTTTATTTCAGATCAGATTTCTGACATTTTTTTTTCTCAGATCTTAATCTTAAAGGGCCTCATGAAGGCAGAGATGTGGAGCACTCAGCTTCACCGATAAAGATGTGAGTAGTTTGGGAGAAACAGGAACACATTGGTGGAAAATGATGGAATTAGGCGACTTTTTCCGTCCCTGAGGGTCCCTGCTGATGCTGTTTGATTAATGGAAGGTGGATTAAAACAGAGAGCTAGTTTAGTCTCTAGACAAGTTTGATGCTTGTTTGCTCTCAGAATTCTGACTGAATTCTGAGGGAAAAAAAGATTTGTGAGATTAAAATCAGAATTCTGTTTTTTTCCATATTTAACTGAAATAATATTTAACAATGAGTTAAACTTTTTATTTTTTTCAGTGGCTCTGATCCTCTTCCATACCATCATCTTCACAGGACTGTTTCTATCCATCTATAAGCTTCTTAGCAGTGCGGTTATAGAGTCACCTCATGTCGTGACTCCTGTGAGTCTCTATCAACGTTTAAATTCATCTTTTCTTTATCCAACCTGGTTATATGCCAAAGAAAGTTCATTATAAATTCAGTTTTACAAAGATGCTTAAAGCTTAGTTTTCCATTAATTTACCTAAAATCTTGCTCGATCTCTTAATATTAAGTCGAATCTTTAAATTCCAAATAAAGAGAAGAAGCTCGTAATGATAGAGTAAATTTCTATTTTCCTCTTTAAGATTATGTTACATGTATGAGGAGGTAATCTGGCATCTGATTCATTCAGTAAGTATTTATCTCTCTTTTTTACTCTCTGCTCAAGTAAAAGTAAAAAGCAATCAAGACATTATTCAGGTAGAAGATAAAAAAGTAATTGCCAAGATGGCTGCTGAAGTACTGAGGAACTGGTCGTTACATCTGATGATTTGGTGTTTGAAAATGAGACAATTGGACAGAAAGAAATATAAAATAATATGGCAAATTCTGGACTAAAAAT